CTCTCAAAGGATAAGAGGAGGGTAAAAGTCCTGAAGGACAAGTCTAGACTCCTTCTTGCCATGGGAGAGAAATTATTTTGGCGATGGAGTGAATACCTTCGTCTCCTCTGTACCTCAAAACGATCAGCGGTCATCGAAAGCGATTAATTGGCTGATATTGCAGTACCATTCATTAATTCATTTTAACTCATTCATAACTAATTCAGTTACCTCGTTCCACAGTTCAAGCGTTTGTTCATTCCAGTAGGTATTTCTTTCGAATGCTGTCGGTGCCTTCTTCAGATTTACTAGTGATTCCAGTCCTCCATTAATTGGGAAGCTCTGTTGACTGGTTTGTAAAATGCTGCAGTGTAACCACCGATGTTTGATGGTCAGCGTAAGTAAACAAAATTCATAACAATGAGTTCATCTAATCGAGAAGTACGCAACTGAAGTTTACTGAATGCATTTAATAATTTCGACTGTAGTATATTTTCGAGTTATTTGATTCACTGTAATATACTTCATTGATTGACGTAGTGTTTAAAAAATATTCAAAAATACCGAATTTGAAACAATTTATAGTTTTATATTGTACATTTGACACGCGCAAATGGGTGAGATAATTAGCGTTGCTATGAGAAGAAGCTAACATTCGTTGCAACTCTCTGGTTTCCTCCTTACTACCTGTTGGCGGAAGAAAACTGCGTGATTTTTGAAGCAATTATTGTGAGACAACAACACTTTTCGGTCCGGTGTGTATTCCTCGATTTAATTATCTAATTTTTAAGGGATCGTGGAAATCTTGAACTCTCAGATTCATATCCAGGATTCGTAGTACCATTCTCGGCGTTCATCCTTCAGAATGTGATTTTGCATTCTCTGACATAACGCGTTCTTTCAGTTATCAAATGTTTTCTTTTCTGATGAAAAATGAAATCCTTTTGGAATCCCATTCCATTTGTTAAGTTGTCGTTCATTCATTCTTTCATTCGTCCATTTTGTCCTACTTTTCTTCATCGGTGGCGTCGTTTTCGATGTATTCTGAGTTTTTCTGAACATTGCCCTGTTTGCATTTATTGTGATTTGAAGTGTAAAGATTTTACAACACGGTTCAGACCGGCAGAATGTTTTTTCCAATTATGCAGGTTTCAAATTTCAAAAAATAAACTGATGCTAATGATTTACAGTTGAAGATATCCATTAACTATTTTATCCCAGCCCTAGCATATTTATCATTTTTTGTGCTCACGTTATTTACGTTCATTTTGTCTGTAGCAAGTACCGATTTGGCATTATTACGGGTACGAAGTTGTAAATTTAGATTTATGATTCTGTGAAGAAGATGAAAGCCGGCAAGGGAATTGCGAAGCGGAAGGACCATACACAAAAAAAGCAAAGTGAAGAAGTCGATGGACATCAGAAAAGCGGAACCTCGGATAAAGTCAGGATCACGGCGATACTTCTTTTAAGTAATTGATTTCTGAATTTTAATTTTTGTCATTCACGCCGAATCATGTTTTGTCTTTGACAGTATCAGTGAATCAAGAATTTTGTTAATTCCATAAGTTTGCATGTAAATAAATATTTAAGCCAATTTGTAAGTCAGCAAATAGATCATCATGTAATCAAGTACGTTGTGCACTAGGATCATTTCAGTCGACCGGTAATCGGCGACAAATCACGTAGGCCGCCTTAACACGCCCTCCACTCCTGAATCATGGTTACGAACCTTCTCACTGCAAGCGCAGCCTTTCCTGCTCTTGATATATTCTTCTCACTGTCGTCAGGGAGAGTACCAATCCGCGAACATCATTGACTATCTCCCGTCGATCATCCTAGCTACGTACCAAACTTCACCTTTCTGTTTTCCACGGCAGTCTGATTACCATTCTGGGGATATGGTCGCGATATTGGATTCTCAACATTCTTCTTTAAACGGTTCTTTCAGTGACAGATAGTTAGCGTTCTTTGGCTTTAGAGAGTGACCACACCTCACTGTATACAATATTTCTGCTAAAACGGTAAAATTGAAGAAGTAGACATGGGTTTCTCTTTATGTTGCCGACGAGGACGTCCTTGATTGATTGGAACAAGCACCTACCGGCCCTCTTTCTTCAGTTGAACCCCTCCTACCTGTTCATGCCACATGTTAATATCTTGGTCAGGGTAAACGGTTTATCAGCTTTTTCCAACTTTTCACCAATTAATATTTTACCTGGATATTCAGCAGTATCTTCGTCTTTGGCCGATTGATTCGCAGTTGGACTTCTGTGCTGTTTTTCTTGATCTTCGGCAGCGTTTCTTGTAGCTGATTGGCGTTTAACGCAGACAACATCATGTCATCAGCGAACCTTAGGTGGATAAGGTGTTCACCGTTGATACTAGTCCGACCTTTCCAGATCATCCTCCGGAACATCATTTCTGAACAGGCAGTGAGCATTTAAAAGAAGAAGGTATCCTTTGTTTCATTATCTTCTCTACGGAAATCCGGAAAGTAGCGTTGAACGGCGTGATGGTGGTGAAGCAGTTACAATTCCCTTTCTGTAGCAGGTTGATGCAACGGGTGTCGAATATACTGTCAGTGCAGTGTACACTTTACTGGGCAGTATCGAACGCTTTTCCGCAGTTGCACAGAGAGAGCTGATATTCGCTCGTGCCCTCGTTGATTTAACGTATAGATGTTATCCGTTGTGCTATAGTTCCTGTGGACTGTCTTGTCTGCTGTTCATGCAGACTTGTGGAAATATGCTGGCGATAATTTTAGTGAGCAGCTTGCAGATATGAGAACAGGCACATTGGGCAATATGTTTTCAGATCTTTCTTCTCACTCTTCTTGAGCAACACTTTTTTTTGACAAGTCTTCTGTTTTGACTTGCTCTTTCCAGCTTGATGGCATCTTTCCCGTTTTCAGTAGCAACTAACTTCCCCGCTAGAGCTATTTACAGCGTCTGACCA